AGCAGGAGGGACACTGAAGAGTAGCTCCTCCTTCTGCTAAAAAGCTTACCCGGTTCTGAACTGGTGCTGAGTACAGTTCTCATTAGAACATGTCTGATTCCGGACCCTGAGTTATCTCTGAGAGCAGTCCGATCACTCACCAGCAATGTTATAAAGCACATATATTAGACAGTTTGTTTTGTACATGATCTTATTAAACTCCCACAAAAATGTGATGTTATTATTATTTTCAGGCTAAATCTGCCCAACAAGTCTGCTGTCAGACTGATGTAGTCTTCCACCAGCCTGCACCGGTCCAGGCTAGACTTCTTGCAGGTGAGTTATTTTTAACCATCTGTCTTTCATTACCCTCTAGTTTTAACATGTAATTATTTTAGCTTATTGTTACACACATGTGTTGCTGCTCTTAAAAACAACCATAAATATATCTGCTGTTTCTTTATATTTCACATAGCCTCCCAGCAGCAGTGTGTCTGTTTCTTTATATTTCACATAGCCTCCCAGCAGCAGTGTGTCTGACACTGGGACCATGATGGGAATTCCACCCAGAGCAGCTTCTACACTCCTGAACAGACCCAGGTGTGGTGAAGAGCTTCTGAGCAGCTTCCATCTGAATGACAGGACAAGCTCTATGAACTTATCCAGGTAAAAACATTCTAAATAATAATATTGTACTCTGTATTTTGTTTTTTTCCTTACATCTCAGCCTGGCCGGTCACCACTGGAGAGGAGTATCTTCCCAGACTCACACTAACATCCCGTTTTACCTCTTGGCCTCCTGATCTAACAGAAAAACCTGTAGCTCCGTCCTTGCTCTACTTTCCACATGTTTCTGATCATCTCTGGAAGCTACCTACCACAACACTGTGACGTTATATATCATTTTATTTTTTCAGGCCAATTGAACCCAAGTAATCTGCTGTCAGACTGATTGTTGCTGCTACAAATGGTTCAGACTAACATGAGGCCTTGCAGGTGTAGTAAAGGTGAGTTGTTTTTAATCATCATGTAATCTTCATTACAGCCTTTGAGTTTTAACATCATCTATGTTTTTGTTTCATAGCTTATTGCTACACGTGTGTTGCTGCTGTGAGCTTGGAGCTAGATTACATCATGACATCATGAAGGAGACGACTGATTCTGGCCCTGTGACACTTGGTGACGTGTGAGCTGATTCACCTGGTAAATAACTTTGACATTAAATATTTTTGTTTTTTTGCTATAAAAAGTAAATTAACTAATAACTTGCATTATTGTCGGACACAGCTAAATATGGACTCTACACCATGAGGCAGGCACGCGTTAATACTCTTTAAGAGCACATGAGGTGAGCAACACCACATATTATTGTACACTGTCCTGGATTTGTTTTCTTTCTGCATCTCATCATTAGCCTGGCTAATCACCTGATAACTCCTGTCATCTGGTTGTAACAGCATGAGAATGTCCTCACACACCTGTAACCTATCAGCTCATCTGGCAGAATAGAGAGAAGAGACAACACCACATCTCCTGTTCCTGGAAAGCCTTCAGCCATCATTCGATGACTGAGAACCTCCATCAGCTCTGTCTCCTGTCTGCCTACAATTATTACAATAAATATTGTGTTTAACAAGTTCTTTGTGCTACCAAATGTCTCATTTTGATTCCCGTTTTTATATTATAATGGATATTTATAAATTACATTTATTGAATTATCACTTTGTTGCACGTTTTACTAGCTCTATTGTGATGAATTAAACTAGCACATCACTGTTAAAAGCTTGTTTTAAATTCAAGCGTTTTTAAATATTTATGAACATGAACATGAACATGAAACATTTAAATTGAGATTTATTTAATTAATATAACAAATAACAATTTAGAGGAGGAAGGAATCATTCAAATGCGCATTCTTCTGGAAGCTCCTGATCCTGACGACACCACCAGAGGAGACCAGCTGCAGACACTTGGGATCACCTACGACCCAGAGAAAGCTGGTATCAGTAAATAATGAAATCAGGGTAATTTTAGGTGGATGTTTGTGATTGTGTAACATAAATGAACACATTACAGAATATCTTAGGTGTGTTCATGCTGTGTCATGGTTCTAATTCCATGCTGTCGTTCTTTTTAAAACACAGAAACAGTTTTGTTACCTGTTCTGTCGCTACGTTTCGTTTGCGGCTGCAAACTTCCTCAGGCTGACGCTGATGGTGGCGTCACTTCCTTCTCCGTTTATCCGCGGGCAGCAGAGGACGTTGTCGCCCTCTGCTGCCCGCTCTCCCCTCTCCGACGATGCAGTCCCATGTGTGGTCCAGCGTGTAAACTCCATCGTCCCTATTCATGGTCCCACATCCACTTCTCCTTATCTCGATTGCTTCTTTTTTCCATCTTTTGTATTTTTGTTTTTTGGTGTTTACGATGCTTGTGTTGTCCCAGTCCATTATATGGTTTTCTCTTATGCAGTGATCTGTTACGGATGACTTCTTTATTGTACTTTCTGCTTCTTCTTTTGCTGCTCTTGTGTGTTTTTGACTTGCCTCTTTCTCGCACTCCTTTCTATGTTCTATTGCAAAATAAACTGCAAAATAAAACTATGGAAACCCTACGTAGACGACATACTGGAAATCACCAAAAGGACAAACAGAAACACCAACACAACACTTAAATAACATTGACGACACAGGCAGCATAAAGTTAACTTATGAGTCAGAAACAGAAGGCAGCATAGCATTTATGGATATGAAAATAACCAGGCAGACCAACAGGTCCCTAAACATAAACACATACAGGAAACCAACACACACAGACCAATATCTATTATGGACTTCAAAACGCCTCACCATACACAAAATGTCAGTAATCAGAACACTATATCACCAAACAAACATGATAACAGAAGAAAGAGACCGTAAACAAGAGGACAAACACATACAACATGCTTTAAAGACCTGCGGATACCCGACATGGGCAATAAACAAAGGAAAACTGCAAACAAAAACAGAAAGAAAAGAACAACCTAAGCAAAGAACCAGAAACCCAGAAAGACAAGAACCAAAACCTGTGATAACCCTACCATACATCAGAGGCATAACAGAAAAAATAAGAGCAACAATGAAAAAACACAACATAAACACACCAACAAAACCATACACAACAGTTAGAAACAGACTAGTGACCCAAAAGACAAGATACCAGCTGGACTTAAATGTGGAGTCGTTTACGAAATCCCATGCAAACTGCAATAAAACATACATAGGAGAAACCGGACGCCAACTCAACACACGAACAATAGAACATAGAAAGGAGTGTGAGAAAGAGGCAAGTTGAAAACACACAAGAGCAGCAAAAGAAGAAACAGAAAGTACAGTAAAGAAGTCAGCCGTAACAGATCACTGCATAAGAGAAAACATGTAATGGACTCGGACAACACAAGGATCGTAAACACCGAACAACAAAAATACAAAAGATGGATTAAAGAAGCAATCAAGATAAGGAGACGTGGATGTGGGACCATGAACAGGGACGATGGAATTTACACATTGGACCGCGCATGGGACTGCATTGTTGGAGAGGGGAGAGCGGGCAGCAGAGGGCGACAACGTCCTCTGCTGCCCGCAGATAAATGGAGAAGGAAGTGACGCCACCATCAGCGTCAGCCTGAGGAGGTCTGCAGCCGCAGACGAAATGTAGTGACAAAACAGGTAACTTATCTGTTTCTCTGTTTTAAAAAGAACGACAGCATGACATTACAGAATAATTTTCTCATGGGGTATTTTTGTAGCTTTCTCTGCAGCACAGTAGTTTTAGCCCAGGGTAGATGGCCGTGTCCTAGAGCTGCTATCGACACGTTTCAGTGGTTTTTCCTACTTTAACATGTTAGATTAGCTATTCAGCAGCTCAACTATTTGCTGCTGATTAAAATAAGGTGTGTTGAAGCAGACAAACCTCTAAAACATGATTGATATCAGCTCTCTAACCCCAAAATTCCACTATCTCCGCTCCGCTCCGGCATGAACTCCGCAGCAAAATCGGTCCCGTTGTAGTCAATGAGCTGTTCCACTACTGCGGCCGTGCGGCGCAGTGCGCCGCCCTCCGTTCCGCCATCCGGCAAAAATAGGATTGATTCTATTTCTGCCGGACGCCGGAGTTTTTTGTTTCATGTGCACAGGTTTAACAACTTTCAATAACTATCAATGGCGGTTGAACTTTAAATGCACAAAAATAAGCCATAAATACAGTTTCTACTATCAAAGTAGTCACCCTTTGTTGATCCAAACACTGCTGATCTCTCAACACAAATAATAGGCAGATTAAACAGTTCATTTCGATGCTTCTCCCACACAACGGGTGCTTGGATCTAACTTCCGCATTTATTGCTCGGACTGTAACGCAAGATCTCAAAAATCCCGCGCTTGCCTGTTTGCGCACCTCAGGTCTCCGCACCGGAGCGGAGCCATTGTAGAGTGGGTATAGTATAATTTGAGTTCAGAAGCGAGCGGCAGCAGAAAGCGGGGGCGGAGCGGAGATAGTGGAATTTTGGGGTAAGGCCGTGGGACCAAACCCTGCAGCTAATCTAATGCTATGGCTAACGGCTACCTACCATTAAGCGCTGGTTCTGTTGGGTCGGCTCCGGTAGTTTCAGGCAACTCACAAGCTCAAAACAATAAGGCTCAGGTCTGCTTGTCTCCTCCAAATAGACTTGGTCCCTTTCTTCTCGATTGTCTGGGTAAGGAGGGGGAGAAATGTCCTCCACTTCTAATGACTGCTCAGAGTGAAAAAAGCTAGCTTCGTCTTGTTACCCATCTGTCTTCGTCACTGCCAGAGCACCACCCTCTTGGTCCGCCAGACAACGCCTACTAATGTTGCAATTTTCAAAATTGATGTGTGGGTGGAGAAGGACTCTGAGGTATGGTTGACGACCCCTTTAATTCATTTGTGTCATTCACAAAATATTTGGCCCTGGCAAGATGAAAGATTTGATAAACATGGTTCTGATGCATGTTTAGATGTCCAACCTTAAACAATGTGCTGTTGATGACTGTGGCCACCACTGTTACTTCCTTCTCAGATGCAGACCCTCGGCTCATTCGTAGAGCTGAGGAAGGGATGTGAACGCTGTATTTCCCTTTGTTTACTTTAGCCTAAAAACCAAAAACACACATCCACATGAGAGAGAGGAGGCAAGCACATCTTGGGAACTTGGTTTCATTGATGTTTCTGAAGTTGTCTATGACAAAATCTTTATCTGTTTGTTTTTTATTGGTATTAAAATAGCTAAAAACAGTCAAATGGCATGAAGTGAAACCATTGCCATGTGTCTTGCCCATGGAAGGAGGTTTCTTCCTGTTAAAAGGGAGTTTTTCCTCTCCACTGTCGCTGCATGCTTGCTTAGTATGAGGATTGCTGTATAGTCACTGACACTAGTCAGTGACTTGATGCAATTTGCTGGGTTCCTTATATAGTAAACTTTTTTTCTGATTGGCTTAGTGAACTGACCTGAATTGGAATGTTTATTATGTGAAGTGCCTTGAGACGACTCTTGTCGTGATTTCGCGCTATATAAATAAACTTGAATTGAATGTATGTCTGATCTCTGAATTGTGTGTACTGAAACTCTAATTTCCCTCTGGGATTAATAAAGTTCTTTGATCTTGATCTTGATTACACAAGAAGCCAGTGGGCCTTCATTTGTCTTTTTCTATGAAGACGCACAAAAATGACCCCTCCCTTTTGCGTTTATTGTTTACCATTATTCTCTCAAGATTTATGGTCAAAAGTCATATTACGGCTTTAAAGGTAAAAAAAAGAAGGTATTTTAGTATATAGCACCTTCTAGATTTCTGCACGCCCAAGGCACTTTACAGCACAATCAGTCATTCACCCACACACACGCTGGTGGTGACGAGCTATAATGTAGCGAAAGCTGCCTAAAGGTTGGTTTATGCTTGACGCATCCGCGAGGTCCGCACGGCTCTGCGCGGAAAAGTTGCGTCATTTTGCATCATTTTAACAACCATGCCCCTCCACCGCGCCTCCGCACGGCCCAGAATTTCCGCAACGCGCACCTTGGAAAATTTCTAACCACGCGGATAGACGGACGCGGAAAAACATGGCAGACCGGCAAGAACTAGTATGGCAGAGGTTCGTAAATACAGACATTTGTATGATTCAGCTCTCAGAGATCACCGTGATCAACATGTTGTAAATAATTCTTGGAGAGAAATAGCTCGCACTGTCGGAAAAGACGAGAACGCTGTTAAAAATGCTGAAATGCCATGTTGTAAACAGTAATTTCTACTTCTACTACGGTGTAGTGTTGGGTGCATCCCGTAGAGCTCCATGCTGCCCCGTTCAGTTTGGGAGAATATTGGCTCACCGCAGAGACAAGCCGCACAAACCATAAATGCTGCGAGTTGTGAAGCGCGTTCCATCCACGAGCCGCATCACAGCGCGGAAAGTGAATGCGTCAAGCATAAACCAAGCTTTAGGGTGTGCTGACAGAGGTGAGGCTGCTGAGCACCACTACCACCAGTCCCCCCCGACCACCACCAGCAGATGAGGTGGATGAAGTGTCTTGCTCAAGGACACAATGACTGTGTGTCCTTGCACAAACTTGCAACCATCCAGTTACAGAGCGGGCCTCTGCCACTGTCGCCCCATGTGAGCAAACAAAAACAATAAGTTCACACAGTTTGCATTTTTCCATGAATGAGAATAACAATCTTATTTGTCATTTCGAAGGTACATTTTTGATTTAATATTTTTTATCTAACAACTAGTTGCTCACTGGTGACAGCTTTACCTCTTCTGATGAGTTTACTGTTTGACGAGAAAATCCAGGAGGAAAGGAACGGCCTCTTGGTAGGCAGGTTGTGACTTTGTCCTCATAGCACCTGCCGGCAAACATAGAACCAGTTACACCATAAAGCTGGAGGCTTACCGAACTGCAACAAATTATGATCATGATGTAAAAACTGTTTCCAAGATGTTTCAAAATCTTTGTAAAGCTTCAATTATCCAAAAATAAGCGAGAAGATTTCCACATTTAAAATTTGCTCTGCAAAATTATGTTTTAGTGAAGGTTTTTCTAATTAGTTTCCAAAGGCAAAATACATTTTGAAGGGGCTGTTGACTTTTTATGAGACTAAGTTGTAGCAGGTTAGATGCAAAACAAGGAAAATGTCATTTTCAAAGTGTGACAAAGTGGATAAAGGTGACTGAGAGCAAATGGACAGAATTAAGACATTTTAAGACTCATCTGAGAAAGAGAGCAATGTTGTTTGACATCACTATCTATTCACAGTTGTGATTAAGACAAAACTATATTTCACTGGTTGCAGTCCACTGAAATACTTACTTAAATAATATATAAACAGTATTTAATAATTTCTTACAATCTTCTCATGAGCCTTGCGTGATGACCGCTGGAGCTAGGCACCAGCTCATGGCAATCATAAAGCAGTAATGATGATTAATGAATTCTGGGTGACTGTGTGAAGAAGTTTACACACCAAAGGTTTTATGAGCTGAACCCAGTAAGACTTTACGATAGTGGTCCCAAAATCAGCTAACCTACTGAGTAACTGACAATGAATTAATCCGGATCTATTGATTAATTAATGATTACCTAAGCTTTAACACCACCCCACATTAGATTTGTTATCTAATCAGGATGATTAGAACACACAATAGCAGCAAAAGTAGAAGCAGAAAGTACAATAAAGAAGTCAGCCGTAACAGATCACTGCATAAGAGAAAACCATATAATGGACTGGGACAGCACAAGCATCGTAAACACCGAACGACAAAAACACAAAAGATGGATAAAAGAAGCAATCGAGATAAGGAGACGTGGATGTGGGACCCAACAGGGACGATGGAGTTTACTCGCTGGATCGCGCATGGGACTGCATCGTCGGAGAGGAGAGAGCGGGCAGCAGAGGGAGAGCGGGCAGCAGAGGGCGACAACATCCTCTGCTGCCCGCGGATAAACGGAGAAGGAAGTGGCGCCACCATCAGCGTCAGCCTGAGGAAGTCTGCAGCCGCAGACGAAACGTAGCGACAAAACAGGTAACAAAACTGTTATGTGTTTTAAGAAAGAACGACAGCATGGTGCTACCCGTTAGCTTTAGCATTAGCCAAGCTGCGTGTAGCTGCACTTTTGATCCCAAACTTTGGACCGGTTCTGCCTTTGTGCCTTTGCTGGTTCCTTTATTTTCCTCCACTGCATCCAGATGACCACACTGTGCGCCAGTAAAAAGAATTTTTTTTACACGTAACTTACTTTTGTTCAATAGAGTTCTGGGAAAAATAGTAATTCAAAGATGTTGCACCAGTGCTACGTTTAAAAATAGACAGGCATGCACAGACAGTTTTTTTGTTGTTGTTGTTGTTGCGCTGTACAGACCTGCACTGATATGGAAGAGCCTGGGGGAAAATCAGGACGTCAATAACACCAACCATAGATATGTACCAACTAGCGAAGCAATTTTTGATCTTCTTTTTCTGCAGCGGTTTTAGCGCTTTTCGGTACACTGCTGCTGATACAGTGCCCCTGTAGTGGCGCAGCGCTGCAACTGCAGTTAAAATAACATCCATATAGCTGGGGCAGAGTGAAATCAGGCTGGGGTGGCACAAAATTAGCTGGAGGCGGCCGCCACGCAAATCTGAACACAGGAAAAACCCTGCCATAGGGGATTTATTACCTCACAATTCTTTATTGATTCCTTCTTGTTTACGTAATGGTTGGTGATTCATAAAGTGACTATATACCTAATCAGCCACTAATGATTTTATAGTGATTACCTATGTTTTACACCCAGCCCCAAACCAAATCTATTAGCTGATGATTGCTGAATGATTACTTAATGTTCAGTCAGTCATTAATATCAAATCAGGAACCAATGACTCATCAATAAATGTCTCAGGAACTAATGGGTAGTTAACCAGTACTTACTGGTAAAACAGTCTTATTCTAGGACTAATGGGTAGTTATCTAAGGAAACGAGGTAGAACAATCATTATTCACTCAGTACTTAACTATTATCTACTTTTTGTGGCCCTTAGCCTCCTCCCAAGTAAAGAGGAACAAATCATTATTTACTCAGTACTTAAAGTTAGAATATGGAACATTTTAATAAAGAGCTAAATAAAAAAATAATAATACCTCCACGCAGTGTTGCCAACTCCCCTGATAGAAAGTAGCTGAAGTGGACCCAGAAAGTCACCCAGATGTTGCCAGATGCTAATTTGCATATTGATTACATCATCATGCCACACTGGCGTTCATTTTCTTCATAGCATCTAAAAGATAAATATATAAATATATATATATATATGTGTGTGTGTGTGTGTGTGTGTGTGTGTGTATATATATATATTATATATATATATATATATATATATATATATATATATATATATATATATATTGATATATATATATATATATATATATATATATATATATATATATTGATATATATATCAATATATATATATATACATATATATATACATCAATCAATCAAAGTCATTTATTGTCACTTCTACCACATGTGCAAGACATACAGAAAAACGAAATTAAGTTTCAGTACACACAATTCAGAGATCAGACATACATGGGCAAGACACATGACAAGAATTGGTGACTGCGGTCATTCGCAACATGAGTCGCGCTACCTTAATAGATGAAAAGGAATTACATGAGGATTGGTTGGTGGAGGGAAAAAATAGGCATAGTTTCACCCGACAGGGCGTAGCTGTACTATGCAAAAAAAAAAAACACCTCAAACATATAAGCATGAACTTCAACATTCACAACATGAGACTCCGTTGGGGGGGGGCTGGGATCCTGTTTTTCCAGGGCCAGCAGCCATGACGGCGCTCAGCCAGCTGTGTCCACAGGAGGGAGAGAGATCTTGGGAGGGGCGCAGAGCACATTCCTGCAGGTTGATGGCCTCGCTGTGAAGTCCACAATCTGAAGGCGGAGGGGGGGGTAGAACGGGTTCCACAGCATCTGTCTGCATTCCTTCCTTCGTGGGGGATGATTATTTGCACCTTCAAGGTTGCATGGCGTCAGATAAGGATAACGAGACTGTGTTTGGGTCAGGCAGAGATAATTTTCCCTCTGCCTTCAGTCTGTAACTGGTCGTTCTAGTCCTTCAGTGAAGCCAATTCGGGTTATTAAACATCTCCACACCGTCCGGTGACCCTCTCCGAGATGACATCCATTTTGCGCACTAACACCGGTAATGCAGCTAAGACATTGTCCAGCTTACGATTCACCTCTAGTAACGTCCCAGTCTGTGAGGTCTCCACCCGGATGTTGCCGTCCATGGGTGCGGGTCGCCCTCCAATCGCTCCCGTCTTCCCAATTTTTCGGAAAACCAGATATCCTCCCACTCCAATCAGAAGAAATCCAGTGATCATCAGGCCAAATATCCACATATCTTTGACGTCCTCAATGGACAGCTGAGACAGATGACATTCCACACCTTCCAGGAATCGAGCATATCGTGTGTCCCGTGAGGGCAAGTGGGAGCCCCCTCCTCCGTTCTCATCGTAGAAAAAATCTTATCAATCACGTTGAATGACCAATTAATTAAATCCATTTCTGAAAAATAGTGATTTCCAGAGGAAATGCAGAGAAGTGCTCTGTAGGCAGACAAGGACAAAAAGAACCTTGGGAAAAAAAGATAAGGGAGCAAAGCAGAAGCGACTGTGCTCTGTGAGTGCCAGGATATATCTATCTATCTATCTATCTATCTATCTATCTATCTATCTATCTATCTATCTATCTATCTATCTATCTATATATATATATATATATATATATATATATATATATATATATATATATATATATATATATATATATATATATATATATATATATATATGTATATATATATATATATATATATATATATGTATATATGTATATATATGCATATATATATATGTGTATATATATGCATATATATATGTATACATATATATGCATATATACATATATTGTCATGTTCCTGAGCCGAGGTGAGTGACAACATCTCCCATGTCACCACTATCAGGATGATTTTCCACAGGTGAGGAGTGGAGGGGTTTGCTGCTGCAGAAGATTCCCAATCAGGTACTCGGGTATAAAAGGAGGATGGAGACACTTCACTACGCCGGATGATTGCACCAGTATAGGTAGCCCCAGCCACTCGCTCTCGTTCTTGAAACTTGTATTTTGACATTCGCTTTCTGGTTATTATTGGATTTTGAACTCAGACTGAATTTGGACTGCTTTTCGATTATCCTGACTTTCAGTGTTGTTGCCCCTCTCCCAGGATCTCATTACCTACTGCAACTTTGCTGTTTAAAAACCTGGACTATTCACACCACGTCTCATCCTCCTCCGCTGTTACCTGGTTGGACCCTCTCCGCTGCCTCACCTATCCCGGATCACCCCTGGACTCATCAGAGCTCACCTCGGCTCTCTCTCCCCTTTCCCCCCTCGTTCTCCCTGAACTCTGAATGAACTCGAGCGATCGATCTACCCCACAGGACTTCAGTGTGCTCTTTTTGTTCTCCTTATAATAAAGACTTTTACTTTAATTCAACCAGTTTCACGAGTCAGTTTCTGCATGTCTTGGGTTAAACACATACCTCGAGTCATGACATAAATACATATATACATTTATATATACATTATATATATATATATAAATATATAATGTATGATGTATATATATATATGTATGTATGTATGTATATATATATATATATATATATATATATACACACACACACACACATATACTGAAGATTTAAAAATCATTTAGGTCTTTTTAGGACTAAAAGGGAGGAAAATAAAAAAAGAGCTCTGCTACTTTTGGTTTGCACAGACCAGTTGGGTGGATTTAAAAGCACATCAAAGCTCACAAAGACCACTGGTCCACAAATGTGAACTCTGACCACAGAAATGCTGCACAGAACATTGTGGAGCAATGCTCTTTGATCAGCACCAAACATTTCAGTGCATGCTGTAAATGCATAATATGGGTTTAGTGGTAACTGTTCAGTTTTGATGCTTCAGTTGTGCAAAATGCAATTCGCATGAAAGAATGAAAATGACAGACATTTCATGAACAGAAACAAACACAAAGAAAGGTTTAATGATTTGTGGGTACCCCAGTTCTCCACACAAATGAATTGGAAAGCTGCAATCATTAAGACAGAGATAGAGATAATTACAATCACTTTGATAAGACTTTTTAAAAACTGTTCCTTAATACCCAGTTATTATCAATTAAAGATTAGTTTAAATGTACTAATGAAATTACCTGATCCAGTTTGGCACACCTGAATTCTGACATGCAGAGAGAATATTTTCACAGCCAATTCCTAAAAACAAACAAATTAAAGATGTCAGAAAATGGGATGTTGACCTCTAAACTGGTTGGAAAAACAGTTCTGTAAAAATTATTTGCCTCCTTACAAATATATTATTTTTTAGCTCTTATTCAAATATTTTACACCATGAAACAAATTTCAATAGACAAAAAAAAACAACTGAATTAATGCATTTAGATAATCAAGTGCCCCAGCAGCTATATTGTTCGATTTACTCCTCATAGGGTCTCCTAGGTCAAATTAAGGAAAGACAAAGAATGTTTGAAAAGAGCTTTCATGCTGAATAAAGCAGAATGCCAGAGTACGCAACCCTGTGTGAGGCTCAAGCCTGATTTATTCTTTTCCATGAGCTCCTCAATGATGAGACGCACACAGAGTGTCAGAAAGGTTTTCAAATGCAAACATCTGCACAGGCAGCGGAGCGTTGCAAAACAATTCCCCACTAGGACAACAGAGGGCATAGCGCATTTCTGTGGTATCCTGTCATCATAACACTCCATCGATCCATTTTCAGCTGCTCATCCGGAGTCAGGTTGCAGGGGCAGCAGCTCAAGCCAAGACGCCCAGACTTTCCTCTCCCCAGCTCCTCCACGGGAATCCCAAGGCGTTCCCTGGCCAGCTGAGAGACATAGTCCCTCCAACGTGTCCTGGGTCTTCCCTTGGGTCTCCTCCCAGTTGGGCGTGCCTGGAAAACCTTACCAGGAAGGCGTACAGGAGGCATCCAGACCAGATGCCTGAGCCACCTCAACTGGCTCCCATTTACGTGGAGGAGCAGCAGATCTACTCTGAGCCCCACCCGGATGACCGAGCTTCTCACCCTATCTCTAAGGGAGAGCGCAGCCACACTGCGGAGAAAACAAATTTCGGCCGCTTGTAACCTCGATCCCATTCTTTCAGTCACTACCCAAAGCTCGTGACCATAGATGAGGGTAGGAACGCAGATTGACCAGTAAATCGAGAGCTTTGCCTTCCGGCACAGCTCTCTCTTACCAATGACAGATTGGTACAATGCTCGCATCACTGCAGACGCAGCACCAATCTGCCTGTCGATCTCACTCTCCATTTTTCCCTCACTTGTGAACAAGACCCCGAGATATGTAAACTTTTCCACTCATTCCTGACCCGGAGAAGGCATTCTACCCTTTTCCGATTCTAGTCCACGATAGTGTATTTACTATGGTGTTTATATATTTTAGACTTTTTAACATGGACAAATTTTTTCTTCATTCTCCTCCACCTCTAAACCCACATTTCTTGTCATTTACGTCCACGTTTGCTCCGTACATTGTACTCCTTCGTTCGTGAATAAATGTTCATATTTGGGGATTTTTCCATGATGCGTTCTTCAATCTGTTCTGGGTCTGCCGCTGAATATCTTTTTACTTTTTATCGAGGCAACGGCAGTGCTGGTGATGAATTTACAGGAAGCGGTGTCCTGACCAATCACAAGCTTGCGGTCTCTGTCATCCTCTGTGAGCCCGTCGGAGAGCCCTTGCACCGAAACATAATGGCGTTGCAAGTCTCCATACCAACATAGACGGAGAAGTATGAGTTAGGCTTCAGGGCATTTGCTCTTGGTCTCAAACCAGCTCAGAGGGCTTGTCTTCCTACAGACCTTCCACCCTTCAGTATGAGCATGAAGGGTCCCATTCACTGTGGAGTGAATAACAGACGAAAGTGGGAATCTTGGTAGTGTGATCCCCACAAACACTGGCAACTGGACTTGAACTCCCCCCTATAAGCAGGGAAGGAACTGTAGCTCCTGAGAAGGTTGAGTGATGACAAGTGGATATAGTTGTGTTTACTTCAGCAGGTGATTAACAGGCTTCTGCAGAGCCTGATGAGCAGCTGAACAGGTGAATCAACCACTGAATCTGAAGTGTTGGAGCAAAGACGTGCAGGATAGCGGCCCTCGAGGACCGGGGTTCCCATGCCTGATTCGTCTTCGTCTTCGTCTTCCTCCGCTTATCCGGGTCCGGGTCGCGGGGGCAGCATCCCAATTAGGGAGCTCCAGGCCGTCCTCTCCCCGGCCTTGTCCACCAGCTCCTCCGGCAGGACCCCAAGGCGTTCCCGGACCAGATTGGAGATGTAAACTCTCCAACGTGTCCTGGGTCGACCCGGGGGCCTTCTGCCGGCAGGACATGCCCGAAACACCTCCCCGGGGAGGCGTCCAGGAGGCATCCTGACCAGATGCCCAAACCACCTCAACTGGCTCCTTTCGATCCGGAGGAGCAGCGGTTCTACTCCGAGTCCCTCCCGAATGTCCGAGCTCCTCACCCTATCTCTAAGGCTGAGCCCGGCCACCCTACGGAGGAAACTCATTTCGGCCGCTTGTATCCGCGATCTCGTTCTTTCGGTCATTACCCAAAGCTCATGACCATAGGTGAGGATTGGGACGTAGATCGACCGGTAAATCGAGAGCCTGGCTTTCTGGCTCAGCTCCCTCTTCCCCACGACAGATTGGCTCAGCGTCCGCATCACTGCAGACGCCGAACCAATCCGCCTGTCGATCTCCCGATCCCTCCTACCCTCACTCGTGAACAAGACCCCGAGATACTTAAACTCCTCCACTTGAGGTAGGACCTCTCCCCCGACCCGGAGGTGGCAAGCCACCCTTTTCCGGTCGAGAACCATGGTCTCAGATTTGGAGGTGCTGATCCTCATCCCAGCCGCTTCACATTCGGCCGCGAACCTACCCAGCAAGAGCTGAAGGTCAGAGCTGGATGAAGCTAGGAGGACCACATCATCCGCAAAAAGCAGAGACGAGATTCTCCTGCCACCAAACTCGACACACTCCACACCACGGCTGCGTCTGGAAATTCTGTCCATAAAAGTGATGAACAGAACCGGTGACAAAGGGCAGCCCTGGCGGAGTCCAACCCTCACTGGGAACAGGTCCGACTTACTACCGGCTATGCGGACCAAACTCACTCTCCTCTGGTAAAGGGACTGAATGGCCCTTAACAGAAAGCCACCCACCCCATACTCTTGGAGCGTCCCCCACAGGGTGCCCCTGGGGACACGGTCATAAGCCTTCTCCAAATCCACAAAGCACATGTGGATTGGTTGGGCAAACTCCCATGCCCCCTCCATCACCCTTGCAAGGGTATAGAGCTGGTCCACAGTTCCACGGCCAGGACGAAAACCACATTGCTTCTCCTCTATCTGAGATTCAACTATCGCTCGGACCCTCCTCTCCAGTACCTTGGCGTAGACCTTTCCAGGGAGGCTGAGGAGTGTGATCCCCCTATAGTTGGAACACACCCTCAGGTCACCCTTCTTAAAGATGGGGACCACCACCCCGGTCTGCCACTCCCTAGGAACTGCCCCCGATGACCACGCAATGTTGTAGAGACGTGTCAACCATGACAGCCCTACAACATCCATAGCCTTGAGATACCCAGGACGAACCTCATCCGCCCCCGGGGCTCCGCCGCTGTGTAGTTGTTTGACTACCTCAGCAACTTCTGCCCCCGAGATCGGACAGTCCATCCCCAGGCCTCCCAGCTCTGGTTCCTCCTCGGAATGCGCATTGGTGGGATTGAGGAGCTCCTCAAAGTATTCCTTCCACCGTCCGACTATAGCCTCAGTTGACGTCAGCAGCTCCCCGTCCCCACTGTAAACAGTGTGAGCGAGTTGCTGCCTTCCTCTCCTGAGGCGCCGGACAGTTTGCCAGAACCTCTTTGGAGCCGATCGATAGTCTTTCTCCATGGCCTCCCCAAACTCCTCCCACGCCCGAGATTTTGCCTCGGCAACTGCCACTGCTGCACCCCGCTTGGCTATCCGGTAACTGTCTGCTGCCTCCGGAGACCCACAGACCAGCCACGCCCTGTAGGCCTCCTTCTTCAGCCTGACGGCTCCCCGAACCTCTGGTGTCCACCAGCGGGTACGGGGGTTGCCACCACGACTGGCACCGGCCACCTTACGACCACAGCTAGCAACAGCCGCCTCGACAATCGCAGAGTGGAACAAGGCCCACTCGGACTCAATGTCCCCCACTGCTCTCGGGACGTGGTCAAAGCTCTGCCGGAGGTGGGAGTTGAAGACCGTCTTGACAGGTTCTTCTGCCAGGCGTTCCCAGCAGACCCTCACTATGCGTTTGGGTCTGCCAGGTCTACGCGGCATGTTCCCTTGCCATCTGATCCAACTCACCACCAGGTGGTGATCAGTTGACAGCTCCGCCCCTCTCTTCACTCGGGTGTCCAAAACATACGGCCACAGGTCAGATGATACGACTACAAAGTCTATCATCGACCTGCGACCTAGGCTGCCCTGGTACCAAGTGTACCGGTGGGCATCCTTATGTTCGAACATGGTGATCGTTATGGCCAAACTGCGGCTTGCACAGAAGTCCAATAACAAAACACCGCTCGAGTTCAGATTAGGTGGGCCGTTCCTCCCAATCACACCCCTCCAGGTCAAGCTGTCATTGCCCACGTGAGCATTGAAGTCCCCCAGCAGGACAATGGAGTCCCCTGATGGAGCACTATCTAGCACTCGTCCCAGGGACTCCAAAAAGGGTGGGTACTCTGAACTGATATTTGGCCCATAAGCACAAACAACAGTCAGGACCCGTTCCCCGACCCGAAGGCGCAAGGAAGCTACCCTCTTGTCCCCCGGGGTAAACCCCAACACACAGGCAGAGAGTCTCGGGGCTAACAAAAAGCCAACCCCAGCCCTCCGCCTCTCACCCGGAGCAACTCCAGCAAAGTAGAGTGTCCAACCCCTCTCCAGGTCTCGGGTTCCAGAGCCAATGCAATGTGTCGAGGTGAGTCCGACTATATCTAGCCGGTACCGCTCAACCTCTGCCACAAGCCCCGGCTCCTTCCCCGCCAGCGAGGTGACGTTCCATGTCCCAAAAACTAGTTTTCTTGTCCGGGGATTGGACCGCCAAGGCTCCCGCCTTGGTCTGCCACCCGATTCGCATTGCACCGGACCCTTCATGTTCCTCCTGCGGGTGGTGGGTCCACAGTTGGACGAGCCCATGTATCCGGTTCGGGCTGGGCCCGGCCGGGCCCCATGGGCGAAAGCCCGGCCACCAGGCGCTCGCTCACGGGCCCCAACCCCAGGCCTGGCTCCAGGGTGGGACCCCGGTAACCCTCCGGGCCGGGTACTCCGACTCTTCGTTTTAACCTCCATGAAAGATCCTTCGAATTTAGATGCCTGATCTAAACCTTAACCTCCAACGTAACCAAATAAGCTAGGCGCTGCCTCAGCTCAGTGTGGAGAGTGGGTAATTTTAGGGTAGAGAGGTCATGTTATTGAGTCAGACCAGAAGAGATGCATGGCTCAGCAGGGCAGTCGAGCTGGTGTCTGGGTCGGATCCAGCTCACAGAAGCCTGCATGAGCTCCAGAAAAGGATGACAGGTGTGTCTCTCCCTCTCTCTAAGCACTAAACTACGTTACGTGAACGGATATTAATGAGTATGAGACAGCTGACAGACACTCATTAGTATTAATATTATATTAACTGACTGATACTATTTTAATTGTCTGGTCCATGATAGTTGTTAGCACACAAGTCTAAGCTAGCATCGTTAACTCACAAGACACCTGCAGCTCCCCCGCTCTTCTCCTCACATCGCAGCACAATCTCTCTGCTCTGGCCAATGGTTTCTCCCTCTGGTTTGTCTCTGCTCTCTGGGGCATGCAGCAAACTCATGACTTTATGGTTTTGGTCCATTATAAGTAGAAGTATAAACATTTAAAGTTTCCTTTATGTCAGAGCCACATTAGAATCCATATTTTTCACTGGATTAAGCTGACTGGACTCCCTCAGCTGATGTCACTTGGTTTGGCAGAAAATAAATAAATAAATTCTCACAAAAATGACTCTAGCAATCTAAATAATTTATGTGGAAAAAAAAATTAAACAACGTTTTATTATGTGTATTGGTTCATGGGAGTCTCTAACTTGCATTATGCTCTTTAGGAAGAGGTAAAAGACAGGCCCTTCGGTCATCACTGTCTCTACCTGTTGATTGGACTTTATTCTAGTAACTGAAATGTTAGCTTCCCTGAGCTATGGGTATTTATGTGTATTAGGGTAGGCCATATCATATCATCCATGATAATGATGGGATTTTTTCTCTTTTCTCGGACAAAATATTTTTTATGCTATGCTAATTTCTTGTCGTCTTTATCCTCCTCCACAGCACAGCAGATTACACTCACATGCGCAGTACAGATTTGTTAAAGTTGTGAAGGAAAACATGGCTTGAATCTAACAGTAGTCACACACATCAGCAACATCGAGTAGGGAAAGTCATTTACAACCAGGGGAAAAGGGATTAGAAGTTTGTTAGTTTTGTAAGTTTGCTCACTAACAAATAAATTATATCTCTATGATTTCAGTGGTATCTTTATTCAGACTGTGAGAGACAGAAATAACATTTTGTATTAACTAAAATATCTTTAGCTGTTACTATTTTTTTGTTGAAACATTCAAATAAAAGGTAAAAAAACATAAAAATGAGCATGTTTTGTAATTATTAAAACAGTTTAAGAGATTTTCTTTTCTTATTCAGTGTTTGTTAAAGTATAAAGTATCACATTTTTACACAGTGAAAAGGATTTACTCACCAGAAGACAAAGGAACACACAGTGTAAGAACAAGCAGAGTGATCCACATCATGTCGTACTGGGTTTTAAGCAGTTGTTACAGGAATGTGTAAAGCATAACTCTTCTCAACAGAGGCTTTCAAAATAGGATCAGCTCAGAGTTTCACATCTATTTAAGCATCTGCAGGCAGAGGAGGAAGTGCTTATTTATGTGGATTTAACGTTTGACTAAGTTTGTTTTAGAAATGTGCTAGTATTATTTTTACAAATGAATTTAGCCAAAAAATTGTAACTTGGATCAAAAGTCAGGGCTGAACCATCAAGGGAAAAAAGACTGTTATGATTAATAAAAAGTTTAAAAAAAAAGTTGCTGCTATTTGTCTAAAACAGGAAGTTTCCTAATGTTTCCTTTACGCACAAAAAAGGCATGTCATAGTGGTCAAAATTTACTGACATGCTTGCTGCACGAAGTGAAACCAGTGAGAAACCAGAAGTATGTGTATGGAGAGTATGAGTGTACCCCGTGGCGGCTGTGGCTATGTTCTACTTCATTGCCACCAGCGTGTGAATGTGTGTGTGCATAGGTGAATGACTGGATGTGATGTGACCTGTGACGCACTTTGGGGGTTGTAAAACCCCAGAAGCAACTATACAAATCAGGTGCAGCACCAGGTTTTCATTTTTGTGTGGCCCATAGTGATTTTGGATAGGCCTTAATTAAACCAGTAAATAACAATATGAATCAATACAAGTAGGTACAGAAACAATACTTTCAGAGGTCGAACTAGACAAAAAAAAATCATGATAATTTTTTCTCATCATTTTCATTTTTCAAATAATAATACATGAAAATTCACAATTTGTCATTTATTTTCATTAATATTTACTCTAAAACAATGGGTCTGTACCGCGCACCAGTACACAGTCCCGGAATAACTTCAATTTTTATCTTTCAGCGTACTACAACTTTTTTCAAGATTATGCGTACTGGTAGTTTTTCGGTCAAACTCTCCAACATTTTTGAAAATGTTATTTCACACTTTTACCTCGACCGAACTGTCTTGTGACATATTTTCTGTCCTTATTTACCTAGACCTATGACTGGAACATTCACAAAAAAGTTATGTTGTCTGAGAGGGGTCGTGATGGAAAATAATTTACCCTGTGCATGAAAAAAAAAAAGGTAATTTCCATGTTCCGACTGGAAGTATAGGTTAGTTACTCCGGCTAGTATTAAGCTAACGAAAATACATGGTAAATAAGAAGATAAATTAAGATATTTAATTGTAAAATTTTGCTTTGATTGGCATGTCTGTGTTGGTATGCGTGCGTGCGTGTGTGTGTGTGTGTGTGTGTGTGTGTGTGTGTGTGTGTGTGTGTGTGTGTGTCAACCTACTTCCCACCCCCCGATCCCCAACCTTCAAGAACCGTTTGGTGAGGGGATGACTGAAGACAGATCTATCCCCAAGCCCCTGATGACAGGAAGAAACAGCTGCATTATACAACTTCACGGTGCTGTAAGCAAAACCTCTGTGGGTCAGCATCTGCAGGAAAGACAGAATGCCCACTAATGGGCAGGAGATTGAATCTGAGCCCCGCTCCTTGCACCAGGGCTTGAACGTAGCCCACCACCGTGGATGAGGCGTGAGCATTCTGGATGGTTTGGAACACAACACCATCAGACGTGACCGCTCAGCAGCCAGACCCAGAGATACTGGCCTAGGATTGGTCATTGTCTAATGCCTCCTCCTGCTTTTAGGAGAACATCCTTCCTCCAAAGCAGGTGCCATGGGCATGCCGTCATCAGCAGCTGCAACTCTGGAAATCAAGGAGCTGCACTGCGGTGGGGAGCTACCAGCATCACAGGCAGCTGTTCCTGTCTGATCCAAAGCAGGAGGCGGGGAATCAAAGGAACTGGAGGAAAAGCGTAAAGTAGGAGCCTGGGCCAAAGTTTGTGAGTGAAAGTGTCCACGCTGAGTAGGGGAAGATCTCGTGAGCTCAGTGTGTGTTCTCGCACGAGGCAAACCGGTCGACCTCTAACTCCTCGAACCTGTCCCAGATCTGAGACACAAGATTGGGTTGTAGACTCCACTCTGAGTGATGAGGGCCACCTCTGGACATGATGTCCACTCCCACATTTAGTATGCCTGGAATGTAAACTGCTTTTATAGACAGTAGGTGTGTCTGGGCCCAACACAGAAGCGTTCTGGCTACACTCAGGAGCGGAGCCAAGCGAACCCCGCCCTGGTGATGCAGCCGTGGGTTTGTTGTCCATATGAACAACATCACGATTCTGGAGTAGAGGCGCAAAGTGCAGCAACACTTTGTGGACTATCAGAAGTTTCAACACATTTATGTGAGCATGGGTCTGTGGGGGCCAAGAGCCACCCACCAAATGGGACAAACATGTAACCCCCCATCCTGACAGAGATGCATCTGTAAATACCAAGGCATGGGATGTTAGGTAGCAAAGCAGGACTCCGTGTCTCAGAATCTTGGGATTCCCCCAACGCTGCAGATCCTTCCCCACCGATGAAGGGACGAGCAGCATGCGGCGCTTGTGGTGTTTTGGATGGATTTTAAGATGACTGAACCATCGTTGGATGCTTCTCATGTGGAGCAAACCCAGAGGGAGCACCACGTGACCTGCCGCACTCATGCCCAACAGTCTCATGACAGACAGGGCTGACACCGTGAGGTGAGCATGCACGCGTTTGAGCATCACAGCCAGATGAAGTGGGCTCTCATTATTCCGTAGTTCAGTTCCACTCCCAGGAATGTGATCATCTGGGAGGGAGACTTTCTCCCAGTTTAAGGAAAATCCCAGTTTTCTCAGACGAGACACCAGTGTCCGCGTCTGTGTGTTTGCTTTGGACTCGAAGCGAGTCAATAGCAGAAGATCGTCTAAATAAAAGAAGATCCTCATGCCTGTTTAGTGCAAGGGTTGCAGCGCCACCTCCAGGACTTTGGTGAAAGTGCGAGGGGTGAGAGAATATCCGAAGGCTGTTCACCGCCGAAGGAGAAACGCAGAAATTTCCTGTGTTTTGGGATAACTTGGATGTGACAGTATGTGTCCCTCAGGTCGATGGAGGTGAACCAATCGCCTGGGCACACATAACTCAAAACCTGTCCGATGGTCAGCATGCGGAAGTGTTTTACCGCCACAAAGCAGTTGAATAAAGACTGATTGAGGATGGGTCTGACTCCTTCAGTCTCCTTCAGAACCAGGAAGTAGCAGGAGTAGAACCCTGTGTTTTCTTTGTGGAGTGTACAGTCGGTAAAGACAGCTCTCCCTTGCCCTGCCTCCAACATGCCTCCATCTAAATAGGATAGATTATCCAGAGTTATCTCTTTAGTTATGCTGCTATAGGCTTAGACTGCTGGAGGACACACTGACCACTTTTCACACTCTACTACTTTCTTCTACAATCTACTCTTTAACTGTATTATTTCCTGCTATTACAGCTGTTAACTTTAGTTTTTCTCTAAGTGTTTTTCTCCCGAGAAGAAGCTACAATGATTTTCTGCTGAGCTGTGGTGGCCTCATGAGGGGGCCATCGGCTAGCACACTGCTGCTAACCACTTAAACATTCTCCTTCTCCTGATAATAACTTTTTGCTTTCCTTGACGTTGGATGTGCTACAACTAGTTTACCTGTTTAATTATAGATCCACTAGGATAAATGCAATAAAGTTTATCTCTCACCAAATAGAATATTTACTAAGACATCACAATATAACTAGAGACACATTACTTTGCCTTGTGTGTGTGTGTGTGTGTGTGTGTGTGTGTGTGTGTGTGTGTGTGTGTTTCTGCTCTGTCTTCTCGATCCCCAGTGAGTCGTGGAGGATGGCTGCTTAAACTGAGCCAGGATTCTCTGGAGGTTTCTTCCTGTTGAAAGGGAGTTTTCCTCTCCACTGTCGCTTTATGCTTGCTTAGTATGAGGATTGCTGTAAAGTCACTGACACTAGTCAGTGACTTGATGCAATGTGCTGGGTTCCTTATATAGGAAACATAATTTCTGATTGGCTTAATGAACCTACCTGAATTGGAATGTTTATTATGTGAAGTGCCTTGAGACGACTCTTGTCGTGATTTGGCGCTATATAAATAAACTTGAATTGAATTTAATTTAATTGAATTGACTTACATGATCTTCAAATTATGTGTAAATACTCAAAAAAAATTTGAGACATATTTGTATACATGTAATAGTCATTGGATAAAAATACCTGTGCATATGAAACAAAAAAACGCTTTTTGTTGTGCTTGCTCCCTTTCCTGTTGAGCAGTTGTGATTTCTGTCCATTGACTGCGGAGGTGCTCTGGCGACCGCCGGAGGGTGGAACGGCGGGTGGCGCACTGCGCCACACAGCCACAGTAGTGGAACAGCTCTGATTGACTACAAAGGGACAGTTTTTGCTGTGGAGTTCGTGCCAGAGGGGAGCGGAGATAGTGGAATTTTGGGATTAGTCATGCCCACCTACTTCCGGACTATAGGTCCCCAGAAGAACAGAAAAATGAATGCAAGTCAATGGGGCTAAAAACGTGTCAGGTTTGGTGGCAGAGCTGAAGCGTGGCTGAGAAGGTCTGTTGCCCAGACTCGGAGTGGTGGTTTAGATCCTTAAGGTTAGGTTTGAGGGCTGGTAAGCCTGGGAACTCGATACAAAGTCTGGTAGGAACGATGACAGAGTAATGAATGAATGCTGGCACTTCCGTGTATAGTGCCGGCGTGATGACGTCGGCGGCCACGTAGGTGGCGGGAATGATGGGAAGTGGTGGCGAGAATGCCAGGAAATGGAGTCAGCTGGAGGAGTTTGTGACAGGATCCCCCTCTTGAGGGATGGCTCCCGAAGTCCCAGGACGGCGGGCCCAGAAGTCAGATAGCAGGGTAGGGTCGACAAACGAGCTTTTGGGCTCCCAAGAGCGCTCCTCCGGGCCGTATCCCTCCCAGTCCACCAGGTACTGCCAACCACGTCCCTGGCGGTGAGCGTCCAGAACCTTGTGGACCGTGTAGATGCGATCCTCCTCCACACAGTGGGGTGGAGGCACCCGGGTCGTCGGAGGGTGGAGAGGAGAGGAGACCACCGGCTTCAGCTGGGAGACGTGAAAGACCGGGTGGATCCGGAGAGCAGCCGGGAGGCGCAAACGGTAAGTGACTGGATTGATGACCCTGAGGACAGGGAACGGACCCAGGAAGCGAGGAGTGAGCTTCCTGGAGCCAGCCGGCATCCTCAGATTGGCGGAGGAGAGCCACACCTGGTTGCCAGACCGGAAGATGGGGCCAGGCCGGTGGCGGCGATGATGTTGA